AATATAAACATCAATTGCCTATTTAATGATACTAAGAAATTATTATTTTTTTTTTTATTGAATGGTAACTATATACATTAATGCACTTCTGGGGTACAGTGTGGGGTTTTCACACACATATTAAGAAATTATTAACAATTTTATTTCTGATAATAGAATTATGAAGCATTTTGAGTACTTTTTTAAATTAAACTTTTTCTTTTGAGATAATTGTAGATTCACATTTAGTTGTAACAAATGATACAATGAGATACTTCATATCCTTTTCTCAGTTTTCCCCAATGATAGCATTCTACAAAATAGTATAATATAACAACCAAGATGTTGACACTGATTCAGTGAAGATCTGGAAAATTTTCACTGCCACAAGTTTCCCTCGTGTTGCCTTTTATAGCCACACCCACTTCCCTCTCATAGATACCCCCTCTCTAGCACTGGGCGATCACAAATCTGTTCTTTAATCTATAATTTTATCATTTCACAATTGTTATAGAAGTGGAGTCATACACTATGTAACCTTCTGGAATTTTCTTTTTGCATGCAGCATTATTCTCTGGAGAGTCACTCAGGTTGTTAAGTGTATCAATAGCTGGCTCTTTTTATTGCTGAGTACTATTCCAGGGCAAGAATGTACCACTGTCTGCTTAACCACCTACCCATTGAAGGACATCTGGGCTGTTTCTATTTGGGGCTATTGTTATATGTAATAAAAGTGCTATAAAAATTTACACAGAACCCTTACCTTTTAAAGATACTTAAGTATTTATGGATTAGATAAAATGATATCTAGGATTTGCTTCAAAAAGCTCCAGCCTGGGTAAGCCATGGAAAAAATAAGAATGCCATGAGTTGATAAGTGCAATATACTATTACCCCTACTTCTGTATGTGTTTAAAATTTTCCATAATGCAAAGTTTTAAAAAGAAGTAAGAAAAAAATCGAATTGCTTATCTAATCATTCCACACCCACAAACAACATACACCTTCAAGTAAATTGAAGGCATGCTTTTTTGTCTTGTCTCTTTAAGCCATGCCAAGATCACAGGAACTTTTGGCCTAAAAGAGACCAACGCCTTGCAGTGATCATTATTATAATATTCACCATACCAATTTAGACAGATCCAACCTAGGCATCTGTTAACTTCCTTTCAGAAGTTCTTTATTAGGCTGCAGGGTTGAGATAAAAGGTAGTCCATAATGTTGCACAAAAGCAGGTTAGTAATCACCGTAATCAAATGTATGAGATTCATGAGTGGCTTGTCTTCAAAATAGAGGGTTCATGGCTGACATGAACAGGTCTTTATCATCAAGACAAATGCCAAGAGAACAGAAGTGTGATCACTAAACATGAAGAGCAACAAGCTATATGAGCACATTCAGGCCTGAAAATGAAGTGAAATGCATTTTATTTTATGCAAAGGCTGCTTTTGTTTTTAAGCCACTCTGGAGGGCAGGCTATTATTATCATTTTTAGTCTGCAAGCCTCTGATTCCTTAGTATAATTCTGCACAATGGGGTCTACTATTTGGCACCACTACCACTGTCCCTTCAGCTTATTCTTCCCTAGTGCTGTATTATATTCTGCCCCCTCCATCCCACTGAGGACACATTGTTTTTTTCTCTACACAAGAGTTTACAAAAAATGAAGACCCACTCTCCTAAAGATCTCAAGCAAAGAAGAGGACATAGATATCAACTCACTAACCGATCTGAGATTAAGAGCCCAGACTTCCAAAGGAAATATTCACGATGACTTTCAATGTCAAGTAGTGCAATGGCAACAAATGAGTTTCCCTTACTTGGTCTTTAATGACTAGACATGCACTATGATGAGCAATTCTAAAGCTTAAGTATTGTTATTAAAAGTGGGATGCCTGTCTATAGATAAAATCCCACTATTCCAAAGAACATCTAAATTATACAGTTGTACACAGTGTGGTCATATCGAAATCCCTCCTATTACATGACCACCAGTCATGGTGTTAGAAATAGTAATAGTATTAGTATCGTAATAGTAATAGTAACTACCACACTATGATAGGTAGGAAAAACACGGTACCTAATGGGCTGTCTATGTGACACTCAGACAGTGTAATAGTAATAGTATTACTACTAGTAATAGTAATAGTATTAGTACTAGTAATAGTAACTCCGACACTATGATAGGTAGGAAAAACATAGTACCTAACAGGCTGTCTGTGTGACACTCACATGCCTATAAATTGAAAGACAATCAGTTCTATCAAAAACACTCAATGTACAGATTGGTTCATTTGATTGGTTTAACACCTTAGGAGTTCTATCCGTGGAAAGAAATTGATTGGCAACATTGATTTTCTTAGGAAACTAAGAAAATTTAGCTGAATTCAAAATTTTGTTCCTGTGTCATGAGTCAGAACAGAATTATAACACCAAAATGACACAGACCACCAGAAATTGAGCTATATAGGTTTGCATTTAGGAGATTAATAATAGGACTAGTAGTGAAGGAAAAGGATAAGAACTGGGCTCCAGTGCATAATGGAAAAAGTTCACTGAGAAGGAGTTGAGAAAAAGGTGCAAAGTTAAGTAGACATATTTGGATACTCTCTTTCTCCATCTTTTGCCCTCATCCCTGACTTTTACAAGCAAACCTGGGTCCTGTGGATTTGCCTCTGTAGCACACATTTTTGGACAGCTTGTGGTCATAAATAAGACAGTAGAAGTTGAAGTTCCTGCCATTTACCTGGACATACTTAAAAGTTAATCTAAAATAGTTTGCATACAATAAAATGTTCTTGCCAAAAATCTTTAGGGCTGCTTTGCTTACATGTCACATTACCTTTCTTCATAGCAACCATGTATGCCTGGTCCACTGAACTTGGATTTCAGAGGGGGCCACTTTTGTGAGTTGAATTGGTTTCAGAGAAAGAAACACACAAAAGAATATGTAGGAAATATGCAGATAGAAAAAAGAGGGAAGGCGTCAGACCTGGAACAAATTCCAAGAACACACTGAACAAGATGCGTACAGGGAAGTGGATAGCCAAGTTTGGCAAGAGCTGTGTAGAATGGAGGAGCAGAATATAAAAGGGAAAGTTGGAGCCAGGAAATGGCAGCCACTCTCGCCCAGGCAAGGCATTCAGACCACATCCCCAGGGTCCCTAGAGAGCTCTCACAGGTCTGAGCATGGTAAGTAAACACAGCAGGAGTTAAAAAGGTATGACCAGGAGCAGAAGATTGGCAATAGAAGCTTTACTAATTGTGCCAGGTGAGGTCACAGGCTTGCTCTAAGAGGAAATAGTGGGAAGAGAAAGGAAAAGACTATTTTGAGGGTCAATGTGAAAGATACATACACTCAAAGTTAGTTTTGTCCTCAATTAAAACCTAGAAAATGGTCACTTGCAGTCACTGTCAGAGAATTGCTTATGGGATGCTAAGAATTCTTATGTTGATTAGGAGGTAAACTATCATTACAATCAAACACATAAGAGGGCATAAAAATTCTAATGACTGATAGTCAGTTTTAAAGGAAGTTTTCATTAAGCTTATTTGAAAAAAATAAGATTTTTAATATAAGTAAAAATTATTTTTAAGGAGATCATGATTGGTTGCAAGGTGATGAGTATTTTTAAATTTCTAAAATAATTAACTGCTGATTTTAGCAAGGCAGTAATGATGACTTATATGATTGACGGATCTATTTTCTCTATTTTTGCAAATCTACTTTTTCTACTTTTGCAGATCTATTTTTCTCTACTTTTGCAAATCACTACTGCAAACCTAGTATTAATCAAAAGTTCATTATCTTTGCAAATGTACCTATGAGTAAAACTTGGAAACATTATAGATGACACAAGCTAAATCATGTATTTCTTAGTATATCTTGCCAACTCAGTTTCTATTTTCCTTTACTTGATACATTTTTATTGAGCACCTACCCTCAGTTTTACACTAGTACGGGATAGATAATGGAGAGGAAAACAGTTTCCCCACATGGGGCAAACCCAAGAGAGATCCCAGACAGATGATGGTTCAACTCACGAATTTTCAACTTTACGATGGCACAACAGTGATACACCTGTTTTAGTAGAAACCATACTTCAAGCACCCATACAACTATCCTGTTTTTCACTTTCAGTAGAGCATTTAATAAATCACGTGAGCTATTCAACACTTTATTGTAAGATGGGCTTAATGATTTTAACATTGGTAAGGCGGGACAACATGGCCAAGAGGTGGGGCAGGGGCGGGGCAGGACAGGGGACTGGGCAGGGCAGGGCCTGACAACAATGCAAACTTTGATAAACAGTTCTCGATAATCACTTCTCAGCAATTATTTGTTATTATTACAGTTTAACATTAGAAAATTAACAAAAATAATATAAAACTCATATTCTGGCAAAATAGCCACATGGCAGCCGGAAACCGTATATTCTCTTCTTGTTTTCCCGCCCATTCATGCATTCTTTCCAAAAATCGGGACTTTTTAAAAATGCTGCGGGACGTGGGACAAACTGTTGAAAAGCGGGACTGTCCCGCCAAAAGCGGGATGTCTGGTCACCCTATCTTAATGTTACAGGACTTTGCCCAACTGTAGGCTAATATAAGCATTCTGAGCATGTTTACGGTAAGCCAACCTAAGCTATGATGTTTGGTAGGTTAGGTATATTTAATGCATTTTTGAGTGAACAATATTTCCCACTTAATGATGAGTTTATCAGGAAATAACCCCATTGTAAGTCAAGGAGCATTTATATAGCAGAAAAGACAGACATTACTTTTTTAAAAAATCATCCAAATTTTAAATTATGGTAAGCACTATCAAAGGAAAATGACAGATACTATGAGAGCTTATAGTAGGGAGACTAAGCCATGACTGGGCTGGGAAGGTGTTTTAAGGAAAATATCTTGAGCTGAAATCTGTAAGAATGTAGAGGAAAAAGTGAAGGAGAGGAAAACAGATGAAAAGATGAGCAGAGGGAAAGGACCACACTCAATAAAATGAAACATACTCTAACCTGCTGGGTGATAGTGTCCCAAGGTCCCTGGAGCAGCCGTGTCTTATAGTACTCATGGACTCCTTCCCATATGTCCTTCAGAGTTAAAGGTCTCCCATCTGTGAAAGTGCATGGTAAAGACTGAGTTAGCAATCCATGTGACACAATGGTACTTGGTGTCAATCTAGAGCTCTTGGAAGAGTATTATAACTTTTTTTTTTAACATGTATCGGCCATATGTATATGTACTGAGTTAGCATGGTTTCTTTCATTGCGTCCCGTTGGATAATCCATTCAAGGAAGATTACTTAATCCAATTTAATGAACCCGATGTACTTCGCGTACTGACAGAAGCACTGGCAGCACATATTGAGGCCGTGCTTCCGGATCAGACCATGCTGGTTTGAACACATGTGGCAAGAGCAAGAACCCTGGCCAAATTTTCACTGGTAGCTCCAGTAGAGCTGCTGGTGTCCCATCTTGCTTTCAGGAGTGCAATGAGGCAAAATGGAGTATTATAACTTTTAAAACAAATCTATACTACTACATATGTAAGGAATCCTATGTGAATTACTATTTTCTTCCTGAGCAGAGTTTAAACATTTAGGCTTCTCTTCTTTGTATCTATTTAGCATTTAAATTATCTGCTCATTCGTTACTTCTAGGAATTTTACCAAAAAAATAACATCCAAAAGATTTTAAAATGTGTTTCAGAGAGAACAGATAGACAGAAGCACAGGCAAAGGACCAGGCAAATAGACCCCCATCTTCACAAGGCAGCAGCAGGGCTGCCTCTGAAGTCTTAGAGCGTCCTCTACTCCTCAAACCTGGAGCCCCAACTCATGCTTCCTTCGCTGTCTCATGATTTGAGCACCTGCAATGTCCAAATCGCTCCTGCAGGGTACCATGGAGAATAGAAGGAAAACACACAATTTCTCCTACTCAGGAGCCTATTGTCACTGGGGAAACTATGACAAGTACATCAAAAGCTAAAACACTAACTAGAGAGAGAGTGGTCTCTCCCCAAAGAAAACTGCAGTTGGCTGACAGTCAAGAGGAGATATTAGCACCCAGTGCTAATGGGGCTGTTTGGGATGAAGGGACTTGAAAAGGGCTTGGTGTGAAGAGATTAGTAAAAGCTTTGGGGAGGAATAATTCTTCTTTTATTGGTTTAAGTAGTTTTGATTATCCGTCTCTATTCTGTAACCATCCAAATAATGGATTTTATGAAGACCACAATGACACTTACAAAATACACAAGGTAAGTGGAAAACTAGGTATCTAAATTCTGGCAAAAAAAAAAGCAGAGAGACAAAGCGTGCATCCTCATTACCTACAGATTTCAAACCACACACTAATGGAAAGAAGGTGTCTTCACGCTAGAATTTAGCACTACTTGGCCCATTGAGAGCTATCAAGTCCTTAAGACTTAAGGGTGTGCCTTTTCCTTAGGCAAATGGATGATATTACTCAAACAAAACACATTAGAATACTGAATCACTAGCTCCAAAAAAGTATTTGGTCATCAGATGCAAAAAAAAAGATTGGGGTGATAATATATTTAAGAACTTCAAAAAGCCAAAAATCACTTTCTTTATTTAGACATATGGAGTATGAGTAGAAATGTAGGGTGTCAGGGAAACAGCACTAGATTATCATTATTCAGTAAATATTTTAAAAACATTTGCAAAGCCTCTGTCCACGCTGTTTAAATCCTGGTGTTGGTGCTTTCTCTTTGTGTGACTATGTTATTTTGCTATTAACTTTACCTGAAAAATGAAAATAACAATCCTTTTCAAATTTTGTTCTTATGAGGCTTATGTAAATGAACAGGACCGTGTTAGGTACATAATAAGAGCTTGGTAATTGTTAGGTATCTTCCCTAAGTCCTTACTTCACTATTTCAGTGGTTCTCAAAGCTAAAAGACTCATTTCTCGACTGTTATTTCTTAGAATTTCCCATGTTTCTATTCCACGCACACTGTCTTTGATACAGTAATATACAAATACCATACGCAGGGCATTCCTCATGTTTGACCTGAAAAGTTGAACTTTTCCTCAACCTTTATTTTCAATAAATAGCAATAGAATATTTTGATACATTTTCAATAAGTATCTTCATCTTGGCATTTATCTGGTGGCAGGAGACCATTATCTTGTGATAAATAGTTTTATTCCACTGACATTTCCATGTCTGTAAAATGAACAAGATTTATTCATCCAATTAACATTTGAATGTCATGTTTAGCTACAAGTTAAAAACAAGCTGCCTTCAGTATGTGTGTTATATTGTTTTCTGAACACATTTACAGAATAAGGCCAAACTCTGTTCTTAAGAGAAGCACTACATATCTTCAAAATATGCTTGTGCATGTGTGTTTGCGTGTGTGTGTATGTGTGTACTAATGTTGGAAGAGGCAAATAACATCTTACATACTTCAGTGTCAAATAGCAAATGAAACAATCAAATTATGAAAGGATGACATGCTTTCAGAATGATTTTTACATGTCAATGTTCAAAGGAATCAAATGCCTTTATTAGGATAATAAAATGTTAGAGCTTGTATAACTACTCATTTAATAAATAATCAACCAAAGTCTCAGGAAATATGTATCTGCCAAAATTCTGTAGCCAGTTCATGACTGAAAGGAAGTCAGAAGCCAGATCTCAAGACTCACCAGCGCTCTCCTGCTATTCCGTGCTGCCTCTGAGGGCAGAGGCATTGCAAATGTGTTATAAATATTCTCTGAATAATGACAAATGAAAGAATGCCTTCCTAAACTTTATTTCCTCTAACACAGAGAAAGCTTTGCAGACCTAGAAAAGGATGCTGGGTTTAATATCTGGTAATCAGTAATGATTTTAATTTTATTCCTTAAGATATTTCAGTCAACAATCTAAATATGGAGTAAATGGCTTGGATATTATCCACTGTCAAAAAACTGCATACTCTGCTGGAAACATTCATACAAAATGCAGTAATAAGCATCCTAGCAACAATGTGGAGAGACTCAGAACAAACGTTATAGAATTTTCATCAGATTTGATGCTAAAATTGAGAGTATGTGCAGTAAGTTTTCAGACAACACTGAATCTAGTGAAAAAATTGAACACCTTAGAGTACAGGAATTAAAAAATGATCTGGTCAACCTGATCTATAGATTATCTTAAAGGAGTCAAAAATAATTTCCAAACATAAACATTGAATGTGCTTCTACTTATGTCACAAAAATAAATACTTCTTAACTGATGAAGAATTTCTACAGTCTTCCCTTTTCTTACTGTTTATTTTTTTAAAGACAATGTCACATTCATAGTATCTAGGCTCTTTCTATGTCATTTAATAAAAACAGACCAATTAGTAGAAATGCATTTCTATGTATCATTGATTTTAACTTATTCTAAAAATTATAGTAATACAAGTATTTTTAATAAATGATAAAAATATACAACAAACTCACCATATTGATACTTCACTATGTATTTGTTCTATTCCCTACACATGCTACAAAACCAGAAACCCAAGAATTATTCTAGATGTCTCTCTCTTTCTTGACCTTCTATGTTATGATGGAAAAAAAAAAGGCCCATTATTATATTCTAAATCTCTCTAGCAGCTGCGCTCTCCACTCCATTCCCACTGCACTGGAGTTTAAGATTTAAGCCTCTAACAATAGCCTTTGTCAGGCCCATGTCTTCCAATGCTTGATCCTCATCCTCATTAGCTTCAAACATAAATCTAAACTAACTTTTCCTATGCTGGGCACCATGCTCTATTCCTCTATGGTAAACATTTTGGAACTCTAGACCCTGGTGACTGACCTGCTTTACCATTCTTCCCTGCGAATCAGCCTTCAGTCAGATGTCAACTCTGTCCCACCACATGCTCGTACAAACCTTAATCCTTTGCCCTGTTGTACTTTTTTCATGACAAGTATCAACCTCTGAAACTATCTTACTTGTTTATACATTAATCATTTCCAGCCTTTATAACTGGAATGCAAGCCTTGGCAAACTGCCATCACTATGCAGGTACAGTGGCTCAGCCCTGCAACTCCAGCTACTGGAGAGGGTGAGATGGAAGGATTGCTTGAGCCCAGGAATTTTAGTACAACCTGAAATACAGGGTGACCATAAAGTTTGTGTGTAATTTAAAATAGTAAACTATTGCTTTTAAGTTACACACAAACTTTATGGACACATAAGAGCATAGCAAGACCTCCATCTCTAAAAACAAACAAAACCCCCCACAGATTATAGAAAAAATCATAAAAGTTATCATTAGGGTTTTGCTGGTTATGTGATATAATACTAAGATGATGGACCATAATTTATTGGTTGGTCATTAAATTATTATAAACTTTGAAATAATAGCTGGCACAAGGTGGTAACAGAGTAAGCCAAAACAATTTTTTTTCCTTTGAATTATTTTCTTTTGATAAATTCCTTGGAGTGAAGTTACTAAGTCAAAGTGAAAAATAACTGTTTTACTTCAAATCAAAAGAACTAATAATCCCCCCACATCAAGATTCTCTCTGGGGTAATGAGATAAATAGTTAATTTTAGAAATACATGTTTACATAATTTGGCACCTACTATATGCCAGGTATTTTCTTTAAGCTCGTGTGAAAAAAAACAATGGTCCTCGTTTTCATGGAGGTGACATTGTAGGTGGGCTTAGGTGGTAAACGATGAACACAGTACATGAGTAAACTGTGTGTAAGTCGGGGGTGATACATACTATGGTGAAAAGAAAAAGTAGAGCAGACTAGAGAACGCCAACCAGGAGTGGACCTGCAATTTTAGACTTCAGTGAGAAAGTCACTGGGAGGCACAGTAGTATTCCAGGGAGTGGGACCAACCAACCAGTGGAAAGACCACAGAGGTGGGGAAGGGGCCAGGGGTCACTAGCACTGTTTGAAGGTCACTAATACTTAAAGCCATCAGCTTTATCAGAATGTAATTCACATACATACAATCTACCCACTTAAAGTGTACAATTCAAAACTATTCAGAGTTGTACAGCCATCCCCACAATCAACTTTAGAACATTTTCATCACCCCAAAGAAAAAAAAAACCAAATCCATGAGCAGCAGTCATTCCTCACTTTCACCCAC